GTGTGTGTGTGTGTGTGTGTGTGTGTGTGTGTGTGTGTGTGTGTGTGAGAGAGAGAGAGAGAGAGAGAGAGACCTGCTCCTCACAGACATTAAATGAGACGTTTTTCTGTGTTCAGTATCTTCGGTCTGGACTTCCTGGACCAGCTGGTGAAGATCGAGGCTCACGACTCGGAGGTGTTGTGTCTGGAGTTCTCCCCCACGTCCACAGGTGAAGAGCTCAGGTCAAAGGTCACCACCAGGAGGAGGTGGAGGTTTGGGTCCACGTCGGTGTGACACCTGACTGATGTCGTTGTTTCAGGTATGAATCTGTTGGCCTCGGCCAGCAGAGATCGACTGATCCACATCTTCAACCTGGAGAAGAACTACAGTCTGCAACAGACTCTGAACGACCACTCGGCCTCCATCACCGCTGTCAAGTTCTCTGGTGACATAGACACTCACACTCTGTGTTCATGTCCATCGTTCAGGAAGCTTCTACTGCAGTAAAAGTACTAATGCCACCATGTAGAAACACAAGTACAAGGCCTCATTATGCAGAGCGATACATATCCTATTATTACTTTGTGTTCACGTTATAAAACACTGTTTACACGTCTGTTGAAGATGCTTTAAAGTACACAAGTTATCAGTATTTCCCAGCTGGTATTACTTTGTATCACCAGATAAAAACACGACCGTCTCATCTGATAACTCTTCATGTTTCCTGTGTTCAGGTGAGAGTCCAGAGGTTCGGATGATCAGCTGTGGAGCCGACAAAAGTCTCTACTTCCAGTCAGCTGAACAGGTCTGAACCCACTCTGATATGTAAAGAGATGTATAAGAACGGTAGAAATACACCCAATACTACCAGAAGTACTTCAATCATCCCATAAATACATCCACTACTGCCTGAAATACTTCAATACTACCAGTGTCTTGGGTTACTGTTTTATTTAATGAGCTGCTTTTTTATTTTTTTATTTTTTTATTTTTTTATTTAGGTAAAAACTAAAATACTCTGAATTGTGTGATGTCACGTATGTTTTGTGTGATGTCATGTCTGACGCGGTCCAGACGGTGGAGGGTCCCTGGTTCTCCAGGAGTCACCACGTGGTGGAGAAGACGACTCTGTACGACATGGACCTGGACTCATCGAGGACTCACGTCTCCGTCGCCTGTCAGGACAGAAACGTCAGGTGAGAAGAGTAGAAGAAGAGAAGGATTTATAACGATGAGAGAGAGAGAGTAGAAGAAAAGGATTTATAACGATGAGAGAGAGAGTAGAAGAAGAGAAGGATTTATAACGATGAGAGAGAGAGAGTAGAAGAAGAGAAGGATTTATAACGATGAGAGAGAGAGTAGAAGAAGAGAAGGATTTATAACGATGAGAGAGAAGAAGAAAAGGATTTATAACGATGAGAGAGTAGAAGAAGAGAAGGATTTATAACGATATGAGAGAGAAGAAGAAGAGAAGGATTTATAACGATATGAGAGAGAAGAAGAAGAGAAGGATTTATAACGATGAGAGAGAAGAAGAGAAGGGTTTATAACGATGAGAGAGAGTAGAAGAAGAGAAGGATTTATAACAATGAGAGAGAGTAGAAGAAGAGGAGGATTTATAACGATATGAGAGAGAAGAAGAAGAGAAGGGTTTATAACGATGAGAGAGAGAGAGAAGAGGAGGAGAAGGATTCATAACGATCAGTAAAGAACACTGGAGCTGACTTGGTGAGTTTCTGTCTCAGGGTTTACAACGTGGAAACTGGGAAGCTGAAGAAGTGTGTGAAGGGCTCGAGCAGTGATGAAGGAGCTCTGCTGAAGGTGAGGACCTGCTGTCAGCTGACGCAGTGATTTTCTTTTTCTTTGTTGATATTAGGCATCAATTAGGCATTTACAAATGTCTTTCAGACAATGTACATTGCATGTGAAGATTTTCAGATGATGCTCATTTGTGTTATAACACATATAGAACAAGGAAATAACAGATAAAAAAAAGAACTATACCTAGGGAGTGATCTATTATCTATGGTACATTCATTGATTTATGAAAATAAAATCAGGTCTATGGGGTGCCACGTATGTAACCCATTTTTCCCAATACGACAAAAATTGTTCCAGTTTGTAGTTGACAGATGCTGTTATCTTCTCCATTTTGTAAATGTCCATTGTAATGTCATCCATGTGTTCAGAGCGGGACTCTCTTGTGACGACCATTTCCTGGTGATAGTCTTTTTGCTGGCCACCAGAAGTACATTTATTAAATATTTGTCTCTTTTTGACAGTGTTTTAGGTAAATATCCAAGATATATGGTCTTACTTTCTAGAGGTATTTCACCTTCAAAAATGTTTTGTAGGGCAGAGTGTGTCCCTCTCCAATAGTCCGTGATAACAGGGCAATCCCAGAACATATGGTGATGGTTTCCACATCCTCTCCAGCAAACAGGAGGGTTACTGTCATAGTGGCCTTTCTGAGAGGGTGTAATAAAATACCTGATCACATTTTTCCAACCAAACTCTCTCCATGTCTGCGAGCTGGTCCACTTCCATTGAGTTACTGTCCATCCTTCCTCAGATATAGTTATTCCTCCCTCCTGCTCCCATTTAGTTTTAATATAGGAGGTTGAATGTGTTTTAAAGTTCAACAGACATTTATATATACATGAGATGATTTTACTGCCTATATCTGAGTTATAAGCTTTTCTAAACAGTTCTATCAGGTGTGTACTCTTAGTCATGTTTCTCGTCTTCGTATTCACATAATGTCGCATCTGCAAGTATCGATAGAAGTCCTGTTTCTCTAGTGAGTGTTTCTCTTTAACAGTTTCAAAACTTGGCAGTGTGCCTCCTTTCATTATGTTGCATATGGCTGTTATTCCTGTCGCTGTCCCATCCCTAAATCTAGCATCACATTTATTTGGTGTGAAGTCAGAATCATATGCACACCATTTAAGTGTTACCATATCTCCCTCTAGTTTGTGTTCTCTTATAATGGTTTTCCGTACTTCAGCCATGTATCAGTAGTGTTTATGTGACTTTGTAGATTGTTATCAGTAGGATTGCCTGTATGGGGGTGGAAGTTATTTTCTCTTCAACGTTTTTCCATTGAGCCTTATACGATGGGTTGCACCAGCCTATCACCGCTCTCATCTGTGCTGCTAGATAGTAATCTCTAAGAGAAGGTAGGCCCCATCCCCCCTGTTCTTTAGGTGGTTGTAAGGTTTTGAGACGGACCCTGGGTCTTTTACCTGTCCAAACATATCTAGATAACATCTTGTCCCATTCATTAAATTGGTTTTGGTTAATCTCTATTGGTAGAGTTTGAAATAGAGACAGTAGTCTGGGCAGTATATTCATTTTAATGGATTCAATCCTTGCCGTGAAACTTTGGAAAGGAGTTGTGTTCCATCTCGCTATGTCTTCCTTCATGTTTCTTATTAGTGGATCATAGTTATAGTCTGCAAGTTTTGTAAGATCTTTTGTGATATTGATGCCCAGATATTTGAAGGATGTTGTTTGCCATGCAAAGGGGTAGTTATGTTCAGTTTCTCTTGGTGGGCTATGGTTCTATGAGAGTAACTGGGTTTTGCCCACGTTAATCTTGTACCCTGATAGTTTGCCATACTGTTCAAATGACTGCATCAGTTTAGGTAAAGAGTATGTTGGTTGCCCCAGGTAGACCAAAATGTCATCTGCGTAGCAGGACAATTTGTGTTCCGTCCCTTTAATAGTAATTCCTCTAATATCTTCATTTTGTCTGATGTATTGAGCTAGCGGCTCCAAATATAATGCGAAGAGTAGTGGTGACCACGCACAGCCCTGTCTTGTACCTCTTTCTAGATTGAAATTGTTTAATAAATATCCATTGATTTTAATCCTGGCGGCGGGATTGTCGTATAATGCCTGAATAGTTTTGATAATTGTGTCTTGTAGACCAAATCTGTGCAGCACTCTATAAAGAAAAGTCCAGTTAACAGAGTCAAACGCCTTTTCAGCATCTACGCTTATCACCATTGCTTCGATCTTATTCTTTTGTATATGATCCATAATGTGTAGTGTCCTTCGTATACTATCTTGTGTTTGGCGCTGTTGTATAAACCCTGTCTGATCATTATGTATCTGCATGGGTAAAAACTCCTCTAATGGTCTTGCCATGATGGAAGTGAATAATCTATAATCGATATTTAGAACCGATATTGGTCTAAATGATCCACATTCCATTTTATCCGTGTCTTCTTTGGGAATAGCTGAGATTATTGCTTCTTTCCAGCTGGGTGGCGTTTGCGCCTGTTTTAAAGCCCAGTTCAGTGTGGGACGTATCACCGGGTCAGCTCGTTTATAGTCCTTATACCACTCTGCCGTATAACCATCCCATCCTGGAGACTTGCTTAATTTTAACCTACTAATTGCAGATCTTAGTTCATCTTCCGATATATCTGCCGTCATTCTTTTATTTTGGTCTTCATTTAAAGTGGGCAACTTCAGAGCATTTAGATAGCTATCAATGTGGGTTACATCTCCCCCTGGAACTTTAGAGTATAGATTTTTGTAAAACACTTCAAAAGCTTCCTGAATTTCACTTAGTTGATTTTTTTTTTATCACTTTTGTTCTTGGATCCCTAATTCTGTGAATTGTGTTCTCTGCCATCTTCTTTTTCAATCTCCATGCTGGTATTTTCATTGATTTGGATCCACTTTCATAGTGTCTCTGTTTCAAAAACCTTAAGTTTCTCTTGATTTCTTGTGTAGTGAAATTGTTAATCTCATTCTTAATTCTTCTAGTTTCCACTAATGTATCTTGCGCTAAACTCAATTTGTGTTTTTTTTCTAATTCCTTCAGTTTGTTGTACAACTCCTCAATCATTGTATTCCTTGTTTTCTTCTTATATGAGGATATTGCTATGATTGTCCCTCTTAGGACAGCCTTTAGAGTATCCCACAG